TTACAAAATTTATAAAAAAAAATAACCTCCTTAAAGAATTAAATTTTACTAATAAGGTGGAGGGTAAACAACATTTAATAAGTTTATATTTTACACAATTAAACGAAGGAATAATCGTGGTGATTTTATATGTTTGAAATTAATTGGGCCTTGGTCCATACCATTAGTCAACCCATTGGCCATTCCAGATGGAGTGGATATAGGACAGGGAAATGTAGCCCATATTCACACATAATTTTATTTATTTATATATATAGGAATGAGATGCAAAATTATTTTCTTTAAATATTATTTATACTATGTTCTCTTCCCTTAACTCAATATTCATTTTCACATTGAAAATATATATAATTAAGGAATGATTTTTTGGTTTGTTTAGGTCATTGAAGCTAGCTAGTTCAGAATTTGGCTGGGGTTTTACTCTTGTTGAAGTTTGAGCAAGTGAAAGTGATGTTATTATTGAGAATTGAGAACATGACTTCAGACCTTTTTTTTTTTTTTTCAAACAAGAGAAATTTTAGAGTGAAAAGAGAAATATTATAATTGTCTCAATAGAAACTTTGGTATAAGTTAAAATGTTAGATATGCATTACTATCTTACCAGAGGCTGCTAGTGTGACTTTAGACTTATTAGAACAACTACATTTTGGCTTGTATATGATTTTTATGATTCTTTCCTTTAGAATCTTTGTCCTATAGGCATGTTCTATGCCTTCTACAATCGTCACTTTATTCCCATTTTTATCTTACCTGCTGGGTCCAGTCGAGAATTAGACATCAGTCTCAATCTCAACGGAAACTGTTGTACTATGACTCTTTTATGGCCCAACACCCATTCCTATAATTTTTTTTTTTAAAGGATTATCCAAAAGATAATTTAATGATTAAAAATTTGATATTTCAAATTAAAAATCTTAAATTCAAATCTTGAATTGAGCGGGAAGAGATTTAAAGAAATTGGAGGACTGTATCATCTTATATAACCTTTTATTATCAGATGTACCAAAATAAATAATAATTAAAATGAAAATGTTGTCGCCCAAAAAAAAAAACCTTTTATAAACTTCAAGAAATACTTCTTGGTCTCTTATTTATTGAAAATATTTATGTTTTCATCTTTATCCTAACCTAATTTTTTATGCATAAAACGGACCATGAACAAACTATGCAACACGAGATAGTCATTATCTTCTTACACATCCCAACATATAAATAACTTCTATATCAAGCTAGTAATTGATATTGAATCGACCTTTGAATCTAATAATTCGTTTTCAAGTTTTAGGATTTAAGTTGGATTAGTTAAGAATTCAACTTTCATTAACTACTTAAATATTTATACTTAACTTGCGGGCTATAGGTATTTGTCCCAGCTCATGGTTAGACCCATTCCTTTCTCATTTCCTCTATAATTGTCCTTACTAAAAAAAAAAAAAAAAGCAGCTAGTAATTGATATTAACCCCAAACAACTAAGAATGTTCTGTAAAAGAAAAAAAAAATCAAATTTGAAATATAATCTTTAATTCGAGTTATAACAAAATCACAGGGTAGCATATACTATTAAAAAGAAATAACAGTTTAACTAAAAACAGATTTCCCTATCTTAAATTTGTAGATCCAAGAATCAATACCCCAAAGGCGCCCACCAGTCCAGAGCCATTATCTGCCACAAACCACCGTGATGGCAACCAAAAACATGATCACATTTTTCTTTGCTATCCTCTTCTTGTGGTCTTTTGTAACTCCTTCAGCTGCAAGGAATCCTCCTGCATTCGCAGAAAAAGTTATGCACTTCTTTTTCCCGAACATCACAGTGGCATTGAGGAATGACTGCGAGCGCGATGTTTTCTATTCGTGCAAATTCAAAGACTCAGAAGGGCATTTAACGGCACTGCAGCCTAATGGGACCAAGTCTTGGACGTTCAAGGAGATTTTGTTCCCTCTGCGGTGGTGCTACGTGAGTACTGGGAAAAATGTGTACGGCGTGTTCTGGACGTACTCGGTGAGGCTCAAGTGCACCTATTGCAATTTTAGTTTAAGGAAAGACGGTGTCTATCTCTACATAAAAGATAAACGTGAATGGGAAAAGCGTCCCCTATATCTTGATCCCCTGTCATGATTTAGAAAATGGCATGACATATTTTCATTATTTTGGATTGTATAACAAAGCATCGAATAACCGTTACTCTATCTTTTAACCCACCTTACTCGCATTTCATTTGTATTATTTAGTGGAAAGCTTTTATTTTGTTTTTGTAAATGTTGGGTAGGTTTTGATATGGGCTTTTCATTTTGGTAAGGATATGGGCTTTTATGATCCGGCCCATTCTCTTGCATTTTGGATCAACCCACCTCCTTAATTGTCAGTAGTTTATGAACTTACAACCGTCTGTTTTGGAGTTTTGGAGTTTTGGAGCCGCAGGTAGTTGTTGGGTTTGGATCAGCTAAATAAAAATATAATTATTTTGATAAAATTCTTTTTTAATTGTTGGTAGTCAACTAACATCCATCCACATTCTCAACAACTGCATTTGGAAAAGTATTATTATCTCGGCCATTGTTTGGTTAACAATGATTTGCGCGTAGCTTTCATAATGTTTTGATAACCACCTTTTCGAATAACCTTATTCCACATTACCTAATCAACTTTTAGTCGAAGTCACTTTAGTGGGACCAAATCAAAGACAAAGGGATCAGAAACGAAAAATCTCCAATGCGGGTCTCTATACGGTATACACCTTATTGAAGATTCCATTCAGAGACCCTCATTAGAGGGGTTCTCTTTAATTTGTCTGCAAGAAACAGTCTCCTAGGTTTTTTATTTTACGCCTGGGTCAAAGTGGGGTTAGGGGACTTTTCTTCTTCCGTTTGTTTTCATCAATTGAATAAAACAATGTTAGAGTGAAGAGTCAATTGTGGAGAATGAAATGACATTAGAAGAGTCGTGTTAACAGAGACTCCACATCGTGATGCCCTAACAGGATAGCAATGTAAACAGAGGAGTTGATACGGTAGGCATTAAATTCAAAAGATAAAACCCTTAACACAGAGAGAAGCAGAAGTCAATACCCGAACCACCACCCTTGCTGATTGGTGAGGCCCTCATCTTCAATTCTTGTAGGCCTTACCAGAAAGCAAGGGTCATATTTGGTGCGCTCTTGACTCCTTCGATTAAAATACATACGATATATATATACTACTACTTCAGTTTTTTCCCTCTTAGATTTTCCTAGAACTTACCCGAAGACGCCAACTTCTTTACTTACCTAGTGACCGCCTTAATTAGTTACAACAAACACCTACTTCACACACTCTAATTACCCTGCAATCTTAATTCCCATTCCACGAACAATACTTACTCCACCATCATTTACCCTAAACTCCCATCTTAAAAATGACAAGTCTCTATTCTGCCAAGGCAGCAGGCTGAGTAGTAATGGAGCCTACAATGCTGCTTTGGTTACTAAGAGCTGCTGTAATTTGTTGAACTGTGGTGCACAAATGGTTGTTGATGGCAGCAATGCTGGAGAGGTTAATTTTCGCTGTTGCAACACTGCTGGCAAGGACTTGAAGGCCCACAGTGAGTAGAGAACCAGTGTTGGTTCGCCCATTTGCTGCCTCTGGTGTTGCCGTGATGGAGTTGGCCTCAGCAGTACTGGCATCATTGACTGGTTCCACCGGGGTAATGACGAACCCTAAAGGAAGGAGAGGGATGCAGGATGGATCCTCACCACTCATGGTGAGCTTAATTGACTCAACATCAACAGTGGAGTAGACAACTAAACTGCCGGATTGGTCTGTGCAGCTCTCTTGCAGGATCAGATCTACATGATGGGAGGAGTTGCTTGCAACCTTCATATAAAGAGAGCAAAAAAGTCAATAAATATATAAGGTTAATTAAACCACCTCCTGACATTGATTTCATTATCCATGTGAAGTAAAGTGTGCATACATTGATTCGAAGAAGAGAGATGCAGTTTCCTGGATGAGAGCCATTAGCAATGTGAGCCACCTCTTGTAAGGCATTCCCATTAGAAAGAACTTCCAGCTGCTCAAAAAACACACCAAACATTCAGCTGGAAATTTAATTTGTAGAAATTAAGATATGTTTTTAACTCAAAATTAGAACCTGAGAGCGGCGGCGTTCATCTCTCAACAGATCAAAGATTTGTTGGTGAGGATACGGTAGCCAAGTGGTGGATACAGCACAAAGAATCAGGCCACTAGGTTGGCCAGGTTCTGCCATTTTTCTGGTCGTGATTCTAACAGTGTCATCTGAGGAATCTGGTAAGGCTGTCCACAACTGGCCACTGGAACTGCTGATGTTAACACAGAATGTCCTAATCATTCTTTGAGCAAGCATCATCAGGTTTTTCCTTGCATCGACCGAGCGTATCACTGGAATTCAAGGCAAAGAAATACAAAACTAATCAGAGGTAGAAGATAGTGAGGAATGTTTTTCATAGGAGTAAAATTAAGATAGTTAAATTTACCTCCTGAGTCAGGGATATTTCTAGCCATGAGGCTAGCAATCCTCTCACATTGGCGCTGTAAAACTGTAAGCCACCGATGTGCTCCAAATGCCATCCCATTATACACAAAGTTGTTTAATATCTGATGCACAGGTTTCTCCTCTATCTCCGCATGCTCCACCCATGTAACCTGTATACATACATGACTCTTAAAAATCACTGTAATTGAAGTCTCTTAAAGACATATAGCACAATAGAAAGGAAGGAATACTTACCCTTGAGTACCCATTAGGCATATCTTGAATTACACAGCCAGAGGGTCGTCTCCTATAAAGGGGAAATGAAGACTCATGAACGTCCTCACGAAGACCATCCATGGGGAAATCAACTATTGCCCAAGTTCCCTCTTCCATATTCTGATGGCAATACCGAAGAAAATATGCCTCCCTGGTTGGCACTAGAGGAGAAAGAACTTGCAATTCTGCATACATCTGCTTAAAATAATAACATGTAAACTAACACAAACCGAAATTTAAAAGTAAACACAAAGAAGAATGTAGGACTAATTTGTGTTAAGCAATTAATTACCAGGAGAAGGGAACCACTTGGCCCGGTAACCCCAGATGATATAACTTGAATAGTCTTTGCTCTAGCAACAATGGAAGGAAACAGTTGCATCCATTTATTCTGTATAAAACAAATTAAAACATCTCAACCACACCAAGATATATTATGTGATGTAATTAAGAATTGAACTTCATGGGAGGAGGAGCTTAATTACGGCATCAAGGAATGCATCAACCAGAGTGACGCTGTTCATTATAACCACCGCATTGTCTCGGCTTGCTTCTCTCCGGAATTCAGTTAGACGATGGTTGAAATTAAGAGGCCAAGGAAACATCTTAGCATGTTCTTCACGATTAAGCGTCTCCCTTCCAGTTTCACTGCTTCGGGTCCAAAGAAGCTTGCTTGTCTGACACATCTTCACAAGTTCGTCCATGGATGACAAAGCAAGCTCCATTGCAAGAGTCTTTTCCTCTTCCATCAACAAAAGACCATGACTCTCAGTGAAGGGTGAAGGTCTCGAAGGGAACATAGGAAGAGGGAAGATTTCCCCCGGCGAAGCCATGGTTGGCTCCATGAAATTATACCGTGGATATATGTTCATATCCAACTCTAGTGATGGAGGCACTGGCAATGGCATCATCGCAGAAACAACCGTCATTCCCATTTGCATTGGCCTGCCTGTATATCTCGATACAATACAGGAAACTCTTTCCAACTACAAAAATCGAAATTTTAGTTTCATTTTTATTAAAAATTACCCAAAAAAAAAAAAAAAAATCATTATTGATAAAAAAAAAATTTACAAAAAGAACAATTATTTATACCTCATCTCGAAGTCGGGCATTCTCGAGTCGAAGATCTTCAAAAGAAATTCCTCCGAGAATACCTTGACCACCACAAGAAGTACAAACGAGATTGCGCAACTCTTCTTGCAGTCTATAATTCTCATTCCTGAGTGTATCGTTCTCGCCTCTAAGTAAAGCATTATCAGACCGATCTTGTTGTGCCTAAAAAACAATAAACAAAGTCAAAATTAACATCAGAACAACTCCGTCAATTTTATCTCCAAAACCCTAAAACGCCGGGTTTGCATTAAATCGGTTAAGCTTTTAGGAGGCAGGTGTACAGATAAAGAGTTTAATGCCCCAGACAGTCAATATTAATGCGTCCAGACTGTATTTGTGTATACAAACCCCTCGAGCAGAGCTTGTGGCCCCCCAAAATAAATACCCAGCCATCGCCATGATTATGGATATATAAATATAATAACCACATGCACCCAGGTTTAGCGCCTTTAGGGAGTCCATTGCATGCTTTAATGCAAAACAGCAAACGCGTTTTCTGGGGAATCGTGCGGAGTGGTTAATTTTTAGGGTTTACCTTCATCTGGGTTCGCCTGTTTTGGAACCAGAACTTTACTTGGCGAGGCTTGAGGCTGAGTTCTTGACTCAGTTTCATCCTTTGTTTGTCATCTGGGTGCGGACATTGCTTAAACAATCTGGAAAAAAAGAAAAAAAAAAAAAAAAACAGTATTTGATTTCTGTTTCAGAAATTTTTTTCTAAAGTTTGAGAATCCGATTGAAGGTGGGGGAGAAAGATGATACATACGCTTCCATAGCTTGGATCTGTCTGGGAGTGTGGCGGTGGTAGCGTTTCTTCTTTGGGCCACCGGGTTGTTCAGTAGTTTCATTCTCATTCCCTGACTTCTCCTCTACTATTTGTTCACTTTCAGTCTCACTCATCTCCATCTCTTCCTTCCCTGATCTCAGCATTAACCCGTTTTCATCCTTCTGAAGATCAAACCCAAAAAGATTTAAAACAACGATGATAACAATAGAATGGTAAAAGCCGTAAAAACATGAATTGTACTTACAATCGAGGGAGCAAAAGTGTTGAATGGTAAGAAGTTGAAGTTAGGGTTTTGGATCGTGGAGGAGAAGATGGTTTCTGAAGAGGACACCATGTGATCTGCTCCCATAGATGACATAACTTGGCAATCTCCATACATCCTGTTTCCTCGATGACCTTTGAACCAAAAAACAGTAAAGTAAAAGTTTAAGGTTCAAAACTACTGTAGGATTCCTCCATCAAACAAAGATAGAAAACTATGGGAATCAAGAAAATAAATAAACCTTAAAATCCCCACAATAAATTGAAATAGGAAATTAATACCACGAAGGGAGGAAGAATTTGTGATTAATACAAGAAAAGAAAAAGAAGGCTAAAAATAAATGCAATATTAATTAGGGTTGGAAAAAAAAATCTCTAGAGAAACCATTGGTTCTTTCTTCAACAACCCAAAAAAAAAAAGACTACTTCTTCAGTTCCTCACCTTATATTCGAAACCAAAAAAAAAAAAAAAACCTCAAACCGACCTAGAGTAAGTGAAGTTAAACCAAAAGAACTCACCATGAAAAGCTTGAGAGAATCAGATTACAAAATTAATGAATTAAATCAAAAAAAATAAAGAAAAATTTTAAAAAAATTTGTGGGTTGAGAGTAAATACCACCAAACCAATCAAAGCTGTCGGTGTTTTCTATGAAATTTAAGAGAAAGAGAAACTCTATTCCTCCTTTCTTCCCCGTCGCCTGTTTCTAAACCTAAACAGACACTCTTTCTCTCCACAGTTTTTTGCTTCCCCTTCCTTTTCTTTGTACAATAAATTAGCCAATTTAATTGTTATATATACACACGATTTACATTTTTACCGTACCGGGTAATTAAACGCGGACGTTAACGGCGTTTGACATAACTTACTGCGCAGTTTATTTATTTATTTTTTTCATTTTTCATTTTTTTTACCCCACGTGCCTTTTTTTTTTTTTTTCGCCCGGTATTAAAGTTTCGTCCCGATTAATTTAGACTTGACCCGTATTGTGCATCTGAAACCTTCCAACGGGGACTGTTGCGTATACAAAATCTCAAACTCGAAATCTTATTTAAATTAAAACAAATCGCTTACCAGTTGATCCAACTCTTCGTTGGTCTCAGGTGCCTTATTTTTAACACGCAACATGCCCCCCCAATGTAAGAAATTAACAACTAAGTCAACCCTGGTCATTGTCTTAACCCACGCGCGTGCTTCCTGCGTGCCCTGATTTCCGACACTGAATCTTGGATGTTAACTCCACGCTCTTTGATTTACACGTGCAATGGATCTGACTTTGACAATTTTACCGTGACCGTAAGTTTGGAGAGTATAGGGTGGGAGAAGAAAAGAATCAAAGGAGCTCATGCAATGCAATGTCGGCAAAACGAGGTCAAACGATCAGAGCCGTTGAATTTTTTCTGGGTTCCTTGACCATGTTTAGAGAATCAAATACGGAAAGCAGATCAGAGCCGTCCATTTGGATGTTAACTGGGTCCCGTGAGAAATCTTCTGTTTTGTCGAGTAGTGCGGTAATGGTAGAATTGGACTTTCGGGGGGGTTGAGTTGCAGATAGGTAGGGATGATAAGATGGCAATGGGCCCGGTTTAAATTGGGCTTTGACTTCAACCTCCATTAGTCCCACTTGTTAAAAGGATGTT